ACCATATCCAACGCCACTGCTGCCACCATTTCCAACACCACCGCTGCCACCATATCCAACGCCACCGCTGCCACCATATCCAACACCACCGCTGCCACCATTTCCACCACGGCCCCGCATTAGCAAAACAGCTTCATCCCAGCGCCTCCCATCCATCAGCTGCCCAAATCCTGTGTCTTCCTCATGCCACGCTGTCTCGCTGGGATGCCATTCAACGTGTTCTGAACAGGTTTTAGTGGTCCCTGTTTGTTGTGGATTGGTTCTATGGGTAATCTCTCTCTCTTTTCTTCTTTCTTCTTTTTTTCTTTTTTTTTTTGGGGGGGGGGGCTTTTGTTTTGATTGTGTGTGTGTGATTTTTTTGTTTTTTGTTTTGTTTATTTGTTTTGATTGTGTGTTTGATTTTGTTTAGTTTTGTTTTTTGGTTTGTTTGTTTGTTTCTTATGATTTTGTTAGTTTTTATTTCTTTTTTTCTTTGTTTTTGTTTTTCTTTTTTTGATTTGTGGTTTATTCATTTACGGTTTATTTAATTATCAGTGTATTATCCACTTCGTAATCTTGTTTTTTTTTTCTTATTCTCTTTTCCCATCTTCTCTTCTCTCCTCTTCCCTCCTCTCCTCTCCCCTTCTTTCTTATCCTCTCCCCTTCCTTCCCCTTCTCCTCTCCTTTCCCTTTCTCTCTTATCTTCTTCCCTCCCCTCCCCTCCTCTCTCTTCTTTTCTCCACTCCCCTCCTCTCCTCTCCTCTCCCGACCCCTCCCCTCCTCTCCCGACCCCTCCTCCCCCAATACCCTCCTCTCTCCTCTCCCTTTCCCTCCCCTCCTCTCCTCTCCCTTTCCCTCCCCTCCTCCCCCCTTCTCTCTTATCTTCTTCCCTCCCTTCCCCTCCTCTCTCTTTTTTTTCTCCACTCCCCTCCTCTCCCCTCCTCTCCCTTCCCCTCCTCTCCCCTCCTCTCCCTTCCCCTCCTCTCCCCTCCTCTCCCTTCCCCTCCTCTCCCCTCCTCTCCCCTCCTCCCCCTCCCTTCATGCTCTTGCTCCTCCTTCAACAGCAATATGCAACTGGAATCTCCGGATATACTTGTGGCCCAAATCACAGGGAGAGAAACACGGGAGAGAGGAGGGGGGGGAAGGGAGAAGTAGGAGAGAGAAAGAGAGAGAGAGAGGGAGGGGGGGGGGCAAGGGAGAAATAGAAGAGAGAAAGAGAGAGAGAGAGAGGAGGGGGCGTAGGGAGAGAGGTAAGGAGGGAGAGAGATAGAGAGAGAGAGAGAGAGGAGGGGGGGTAGGGAGAGAGGTAAGGAGAGAGAGAGAGAGAGAGAGGAGGGGAGGTAGGGAGAGAGGTAAGGAGGGAGCGAAGGAGGGATGGAGGGACACAGGAGAAAGAGCAGTAAGTGATTTAGAGAGAGGGAGGGTAAGAGAGAAGGGGGGGGAGGGGTAGACCGACCGACTGGCAGAGAAATAAAACAATAAGAAAACCGAAAGAAAAGCAAAAACAGAAACAAAAATGTGACAAGCAACAAAATAAAAGAAAATAAACAAGCAGATAAAACAAAAAACAAAGAAAATAAAAAAAACACAGGTAAAAGAAAAGAAATAAACATGAAAAGATCCGACAGATACAAAGTGCTGCCATCCCCCCCCCTCTCACCCCTACCCCACCCCCAACCCCCCCACTCTAGCAAGCAACAAGCAGCGTCCTGGAATCGCTAATATCCGGACGAACGGAAGGAGAGAGGAAGAGACCCTCGACGCAAGCACACGAGAGACCACGCTTTGCTTGCACGAACGAACGGGTGGATGGGTGGAGAGACGGCTGATTGAGCGCCTGCCTGGGTTGGGTGGAGAGGAAAGGGAGGAGAAGGAAGAGGAGAGGAGAGGAATGGGAGGAGATGTGAAGGAAGAGGATAGGAGAAGGAAGAGGAGAGGAGAGGAGAAGGAAGAGGAGAGGAGAAGGAAGAGGAGAGGAGAGGAGAAGGAAGAGGAGAGGAGAGGAGAGGGATGGGAGGAGAAGGAAGAGGAGAGGAGAGGAATGGGAGGAGAAGGAAGAGGAGAGGAGAGGAGAAGGAAGAGGAGAGGAGAGGAGAGGGATGGGAGGAGAAGGAAGAGGAGAGGAGAAGGAAGAGGAGAGGAGAGGAGAAGGAAGAGGAGAGGAGAGGAGAAGGAAGAGGAGAGGAGAGGAATGGGAGGAGAAGGAAGAGGAGAGGAGAGGAGAAGGAAGAGGAGAGGAGAGGAGAAGGAAGAGGAGAGGAGAGGAATGGGAGGAGAAGGAAGAGGAGAGGAGAGGAATGGGAGGAGAAGGAAGAGGAGAGGAGAGGAAAGGGAGGAGAAGGAAGAGGAGAGGAGAGGAATGGGAGGAGAAGGAAGAGGAGAGGAGAGGAATGGGAGGAGAAGGAAGAGGAGAGGAGAGGAGAAGGAAGAGGAGAGGAGAGGAGAGGGATGGGAGGAGAAGGAAGAGGAGAGGAGAGGAATGGGAGGAGAAGGAAGAGGAGAGGAGAGGAGAAGGAAGAGGAGAGGAGAGGAATGGGAGGAGAAGGAAGAGGAGAGGAGAGGAGAAGGAAGAGGAGAGGAGAGGAGAGGGATGGGAGGAGAAGGAAGAGGAGAGGAGAGGAATGGGAGGAGAAGGAAGAGGAGAGGAGAGGAGAAGGAAGAGGAGAGGAGAGGAGAAGGAAGAGGAGAGGAGAAGGAAGAGGAGAGGAGAGGAGAAGGAAGAGGAGAGGAGAGGAGAAGGAAGAGGAGAGGAGAGGAATGGGAGGAGAAGGAAGAGGAAAGGGAGGAGAAGGAAGAGGAGAGGAGAGGGATGGGAGGAGAGGAGAGAGATGGGAGGAGAAGGAAGAGGAGAGGAGAGGGATGGGAGGAGAAGGAAGAGGAGAGGAGAGGGATGGGAGGAGAAGGAAGAGGAGAGGAGAGGGATGGGAGGGACGTAGTGAGTGAGAGGGAGAGGGAAGGAGAAAGAGAGACAGACAGACAGACAGACAGAGACAGACAGACAGACAAAGACAGACAGAGAGAGAGAGCGAAAGATAATAGAAGTTAGCGAGGGAGAGAGAAGAGTAGGAATGGAAGAGGGGAAACGGAAGAGACTGATGAAAGGAAGAGGATATTTCTCTAGGAACGGAAGAACATGGAGAAATGGAGGAAGGGTAAGGAGGGTTGGAGGTACAAACACGAAGAGAGAGAGAGGGGGGAGAGAGAGATAAATAGAGAGATAGAAACAGAGATCGAAAGATTTGATAGAGAGAATTAGAAAAAGAAAGAGAAAAGAAAGAAAAAGAGAGAATTTATATATATATACATATATATATATACATACATGTATATGTGTATACACACACACACACACACACACACATATATATATATATATATATATATATATATATATATATATATATATATATATATATATATATAAACATATATATAAACATATATATATATATATATATATATATATATATATACATATATATATATATATATATATATATATTATGTCTATATACATATACATATATGTATATATATATATATATATATATATATATATATATATATATATATATAAATATATATATATATATATATATATATATATATATATATAAGAGCGAACTAAAAAGTAGAAAGAAATATACAAAGAGAAACAAGAGAGAAAAGAGAGAAACAAACAGATAGACAGAGAAAAAGAAAAACAGAGAAAGAGAGTTAAAACGCTGAGAAAGAGGAGGGGGGAGGCGAGGAGAGTGGGAGGCGTGGGCGGAAAGGGGGGTAGGGAGAGGCTGTGTGGAAGGTGGAGGGGGGGAGGGGAGGGGGGAAAGGGGATGGGTGGTGGGCAGGAGGAGGGGAGACGTGGGTGAAAAGAGGAGAGGGGAGGGGGAGGGGGAGGGGAGACGTGGGTGAAAATAGGAGAGGGGGGAGGGTGAGGGGAGGCTTGGGTGGATAGAGGAGAGGGAGGGGGAGGGGGAGGGGAGACGTGGGTGGGAAGAGGAGGGGAAGAAGGAGGGGGGGGGAGGAGGATCTGGAATAGAATGCCCGGAGGCGATAATTAATGTTGGCAGAGGACTGGCCACCTTCGGGAAGGCTGAAGCTTTTTAATCAGGTTCGCGATTGTGTTTTTTGTACCGAAGGAAATTAAAAACAAAGTAAAGAAGAAGAAAAAAAAAAAAAAGTTTAAGAGGGAGTGGGGGATTAAAAAGGATTTAATTTTTGTTTATTTGTTTATTTATTATTATTATTATTATTGTTGTTATTCATTTCATTCGTTTTATTTTTTGTTTGCGGTTTTTCCTTTTTCTTTGGTTTTCATCTTTTTATCTTTGTCTCTCTCTTCTATTTTCTATTTTTCTCTTATTCTCTGTTTCCTTCTAATTTTCTTTTCCTTTCCTCTCTTGCTTTCTCTTCTTTGTTTACTTCTTATTTTTATTTTCTTTGTTGTTTCCCTATTTTCTACTCTCTTTTTTCTCTTTCTCTCTTCTCTGGTTTATTATTCTCCTTCTCTTCTTCTTTTATAATGATAATGATAATGATCATAATAATGATGATTAATGATGATGATGACATTAATAATAGTGATAATAATAATATTCAAAGTAGTGATAGTAATAATATTCATAATAGTATTAACAATAATAATGATAATAATACTAACAATAATGATAATGATATAGTAAATGGTTAGGTTGCATCTTCTATGTTGTCTGGCGTCTTATCTCTTTATGGAGCGACTGTATGGGCGTGAGTGCCCACGGGTATGGCAGGGTGACGGAGGCTGAAGTTGGAGATCAACGGGAGAGCCGGCTTGGCAGTCCTTGAGTGCCGTTGCTGTAGTCTTGCTCTGGAGGATCGGGGGTTGCTGATCTCGCTGTCGGCTCTGCGGCTGAAGTACACGACCGCAGTGCAAGCGCGCAGGGAACGAAGGGAGCCCGCTGGCCAATGAGTGCAGGCAGCGGCGGCGGACCTAGCATGACCCAACCTGGGGAGATATGCTGAGGTTCAGGTTGCGGGGTCAT